ACTCAAAGAACAAGCCTACAGGTCTCCTGGCCCAGCCAAGGCCCTGGATTTGGGAAAGGACTTACATGGCAGCGCGTTCCACCAGGGTCTTGATGAGCTGCAGGAGGTGTGTGGAGATGACAGAGAGGGAATTCTTCATGAACAGCTTCAAGTCAGTCACAACCTGCGTGAGATTGGCCACAGTCAGACTAAGCAAAATATGACAGCCCTGGTGACCAAATATTGCTCAGCAGAAAGCCTTGGCACAGATATCCTCTTGTTCTGTGTGGTGGGAAGGTGCATCTTCCTCTCACCAGATCTGTCCTGGTCACTGTCTGTGAAAGCTGTTTTGTGCTGTTTTCCATGAACAGAACCAGAACCGGGTATTTGTTAAGTTTGAATCAGAGAACCCTCAACCAACACAAGTCAGTCATCTGTAGAAGGACTGATGCCAGCCAGCAGTCAGGGGTTCTGTAGGCTTTCAAAGCAATTCCAAGGGGAGGTTTGTGGCCTTTTACCACCAGGAAGCAATCCTGCAGATCCCATTCTCCTACGTGGATGAGTCATTGCAGCATAACTAGTTTAAAGCCCGAGTACATGCTGGAGAGTGTCAGGGCAGGTGAGAGATGGCATAAAAAATTCAATTAAGGAATGAGGTAGGGGAGGAATACTGAAAGAGGAAAATAAAAATATTCTGTACATACCTGATCATTCCTGCTTCTTCCAGTGTGCAACTTCCCAGCTACATCTCCAATCAGCTCCTGACAACAAGAGGAGGATTTCTCTCAGTCTCTCCGTGTTCTAAGCAAGACACTCCACGAGCAGATCTCCTCCCTGCCTGGAAGGGACTCAGCTCTAGGATCCTGTGAGTGCCCAGGGGATTGTTGTGGGGAAGGGCAGGTTTGGGTTCTGGTTTTGTACAGTGCCACTGCCACTTCCATGGAAGGGGCCTTGCAGGCACTGGACTGTGCACTTGGGATCCAGAGGAGTTTCACAGAGGGACAGAGGCACATGCCTTTTACATCAGGCAGATGCAGCTACAGAGGAACAGGACCAAGAGGATAGAGAACCCAAACCTTTAGTCTGCGTTCATTGGCAGTGTGGATGTCCTCATCAGTTGGTTTCAGCACAAAGACTCCTTTGGACCATTCCTCAGAGATCTACAAACACCAGCAGATGGTGTTTATTACCACACCATATTTATACCACGATGATTATTAAATACAGGGAGGCTCCTGTCAGGTTAAGGAGCCATTCATTCCAGCACACAACAGTTTGTGAAGGAAAGAAATACCTTTTCCAGGCCACCCAGGATCTTCTCCAGCTCAGTTTTAGACAGGATTCCAGCTTTCTCCAAGGCTTTGGCATAAGCCATGCTCCCCTGGATATCAACCTCAGACAGTCTCTGATCATAGGAAATGGAAGCATTGAGCATCTCCATGACTGGATCTGTGCTTCCACTGAATCTTCCTCCCCAGAGTTTATCTCCCTGAGAGAGAAAGGAGCAAGTTAGAGGCCTGATAACTTCTTTTAAGCTCCTGTGGTAAGAATTTTATCTGTGCAGAGGCCTTACAGCTTACCAAAGACTTCAAAAGCAACTCTGCGGTGCTATCAGGCAACAAAAAAAAGACACTTGAAGTAGAAAATAATTAATAATCTACTTGAGTTTTTAAACACCCTCTGTCAAATCTCTTCTCCTGCTGTTCACTGCAACTACCATGGACAGCAAGGAGGTGGCAGGACAGTTGTAAACTGATCTGTGCCAGGGCTTTACCAGTCGCACAAAGCACTGTTGAGTAACCTCAGGAATTCTTTCCCTAGTGACTGTCCCCGTGCCTGTGCCCATCCCTGCTGAAACAACGTGCCTGAGAGGACAGCAGGAGAGAGCTTGCAGAGGTAGGAGTGTGGGCATGTGCTTCTGGGCATCTTTGAGGCAGCTCTGTCAGAAAGCTGAGGGAAGGCAGATGGGGGGAATCAGGATTTAAAAAGAAATGTCAGGGTTCCTCAGCACTCGTTTGGTGCTCCCCAAGAGCACGGCACAGGGGATGCTAAATTAAAGAGCATTCCAGTGGTTAAGCACTTGACTGGGGATCTGAAATTTCTAGGTATAAACTTAAGTATTACGAGTTTCCATCACAGTTAAGGAGTGGGCCAGCAGAAACGTTGCACCACATCCATTTGCAATCAGGAAATCTAAACTGAAAGATTAACTTTAGGCAGCTGCAGGGCTCTGGTTGGAGCAGTGGCTGCACAGCCTGACAGATGATGGGTTCTAACCTGGAGCAGAGGAGGCCGGGGCTGTAGCAGCCATTTGGAAGCAGAAAGTGTGTCTGGCCAAGCTGCCCTGGTCACGTCTCACCAGGGAAGGAAACCGAAAACGCAGCTTTTGTTCGGGGAGGTGTTTACCCAAGCTGCTGGCAAGTGCCTCCTGCCCAAACACAACTCGTCAGGCACGAACCGCATCGCTTATTGGCCTTCCCCACGTCCAGGCAAGAACCCGGAGGCTCTGGGACTTACAGTTTAACTCGGCCGAGCCCCCCGGAGAAGCAAAGTTCACCCTCACCTCGGCTGCCATTCCGGACGGCGTTTGGTCCGGGCGACCCCGCAAGTGCAGCGAGCGGCGGGACGGGGCGGGGAGGGGCGCTCAGGCGCTGATCCAGGTCCCGATCCCAGTCCTAGTCCCGATCCCGATGCCCGGCGGGGGGGTCCAGCCGCCCCCTGGCCCCGCTCCGCCCGCAGCCCCGGCCGCTCTCTCGCCGCTCCCCGCGCTCGCAGCCCTCGGTGCGGGGCCCGCGGCTCGTCCCGCCCCGCCGGGGCGGAGTGTGCCCGGGCCGGCCCCGCTGCTGTTCCCCCTCCCTCGGTGTCCCCGCTCCTGTCCCCCCTCCCTCCGTGTCCCGCTCGTGTCCTCTCTGCCCTCGCACGGGCTGGTCCTGCTGGTCCTGCTGTGCCTGGCGGAGTGCGAGACCACGGCACGAACTGTCCCTGTGCGCTGTCGGATGCCTTAGAGGAGACTCTTGTCCCGGTTCGGGTTTTTCTACCCTTTAACCAGCCCGGTTGCCGCAGAACCTGCTATAATTCGGGCAGGAAGGGCCCTGGTCCAGGTGTCTTTCCTATGATCTTCTCTGTCCCATTATCCATCCCCTCTCTGAGCTGAAGTCTAGGGCACAGTGGGATTGCGTGGATGTGCATGGGAACGCTGCTTTCTGGAGCAGAGTGGATGCTGCCTCTGGCTGCCCAGCAAGGACCTTTTACAGCTGCATTTCCAGTGTACTGCCTTCAGTATCAGTCCAGAACAAGGCTCAGACACCACACCTAGCCAGCTATTAATTCACTGCTTCTCAAACATCCCCGCTTATGATTATTTCCTTTTCTCTTTCAGACGTCCAGATGCACAGAGCATCATGATGTCTACCCTGAGGACACCTCTTGGAACCATTTTGTTGCCAGGTTCTTCCTCTTCTGCAGTCCCTCACTTTTAGAGCTTCTTTTGTCATGTTCATCTTTTATGGGTGTCTGTACTCCAGGCTTTGACAGGAGGTTGCTGAGGATTTGAAAAAACTGTGAGCACTAAATTTACATCCGGAACAAACCACTTAATAAAAGCCTACATAAATTCTTGGCTTAAGTGCCTTCCTGTGGTCCCTGTAATGAGTAGGGATTTGAGACCAAAACCCAAATCACAATGAGTCATAGCAGGGTGATGGTGAAAGCCTGAAGGTACCACACACTCCTGTAATGTTTGTGGAACTTCAGAGACCTCCATGGGCCCCTCCAATCTAAATTATTTCACAATTCTAAGAACAAGTGGATGGGTGGGAAGCACTGGTGACCATGAATTACTTATTTAAGTAAGAGACTGAGATGTGATAATCTGCTAAAACTTCCCTTTTCCTTTCAGTTTGGCAGGGCCCTGTGTCACTCAGCACTGGCCATGAGGAACAATGCCAGACATTTGCTGCTGGGAACAAGAGGAAATCTATTCAGCTGAGGCCCCTGAAGGTACTGAGCAGGAGCTGGAAGACACAAATAGGGAAAATGAGGGGAGTGGCACAGGTTAAGAAAGTTTGTGGGAGGAAAAAGAACTGCAAGGTGGAGATGAGGAAAACTCCCTTCTTCTGACTCTGTAGGTGCTGAATATTGGGGTTCCCTATCACTTTCTTGTTCCTTTAGCCTGTCAGCTCGGTGTGCTTAAGTGATTTCCTGGCAACAGATCTAGAGGGTGAGACAGGAGCCAAAACAGAAACACAGCAGGAAGTAAGGGAACAAACAGAAAGGAGGTTTATGGACAGGTGCTTGAAATGTGCTGTTCTTTAAATGCCAGGAAAATGGATCAGATTTAGGGCCATAAAAAGGAGAGAGTGAGAATGGTGGAAAGAGTTGAAAAAAGGGAAGTTTGCTACTGCTGGTCCTTCTACCACATGTTCAAAGCACAAACAGCCCAAAGTAGAAGGAAGGCACCGTGTCTCCTGGGGTACTTTGTTAAAGGCAGGAGATTTAGCTCCTGGTAGTTTGTGCTGTCTGTGCTGTAGCCCTTGCCCTAAACTTGGTGAGGCAATGCTTGTGTTACTGCCATTACCTGTGTGTCTCACAGAATCTGAGTCAACAACATGTTGCTGCATCAGCACTGAGAGAAGGTGCTGAGCGAAACACCAGCTTTGCAATGCTGTGGCAGAAAAGAGATTTTGCTGGGTAAAAAAGGGACAATCAACTCCCTTTTGCAGTTCTGCCAGCCTCCCCTCCAAGAGGCACGTTTTCAAGTGCAAGCGAGGGAAGAGTCCACGTTCTTTCAAACCCCAAACCTCACGAGAGCTGAGGGAGCCCAACTTTGCCCCCAGGAAGAAAGACGCGAGACAGGAGTTTCAGCGAACTACAGACACCCCAGTGTTTATTAACTCCAGATTAGTGGGATAGGCACAACGCTGCATCCACGGGATCTCTCCCCACACTCTAAGCTTGTTCCTTCAGCCTCTTGAGCAGCTCCCGGAGCTGCTCGATCTGGGCGGACACGCTGCTCTTGGCGGTGCCGCCCAGGGCCGTGTACTGCTCCACGCTGCTGACCACGCTGAACACCTGGGACACGTCACTGCCGAACAGGGGGCTGGGGGCAGAGAGGAGGGGTGTCAGTGGACAGCACGGGGGGCTGGGGGCTGCTGAATATGCTCATTGTTTATAGAGGTGGTGAGAGAGTGAGGACAGAGCCTTTTTCGAAGGGGAAAGGACTCCTGCACTTCTGGTGCCTCAGGGCTGCTGCTGGTGGCAGACCAAAGAGGCAGCTCCAAGGGGACACCAAGGAAGTTTGGAGCCAAACCCCTCAGGGGGCTGGCACCTCGAGGTCAGGGTGTGAGTTCCTCCCAGTCCCTCCCAACAGCTGCTGCCTGTGCCCCACAGGGGCAGAATGGAAGCAATGTTATCCCCTTCAGTGTTTTCACTCCTAACAGGAACAGCCTTGATATTCAGGCCAGGAGGATTTTGGGGCCCTGCCTGGCCCAGGCACTTCGGGGAAGGGCTCATTCCCAGGGAGTCTGATCCGTGTCTATGGAGGGAAATCAAGGCAAGGTGACGGTGACACAAACCTGATGCTCTTCAGGTCCTCCAGGCTGAGATTATTGATGGTGGTGCCTTTGGTCTCGGCGAGGTGGACGGCCTTGCCAGAGGCGATGTGGGCTTGTCTGAACGGCATCTGCAGTGAGAAGCAGAGATTGCATTCAGTGACCAGGCAACTGGGGTGCTTTTCAGTGAAAAAAAAAAAAAAAAAGATGTGCTATCATTTTTCCTTGGCTTGTTTTCCCTCAGGGCAATCCACACCCAGGTTTTCTGGGGTGGAAGAGGGGAGGCTTTAGGAGGTAGCACTCCACCTGTAAATTGCTATCAAGCCTCTCCCTGGCAGCAGTTCCACTGCTTGGGATACATGTAAGGAATGTGTTTCCAGCTTTTGTGTTTGTTGACCCACACTGCTCATGAGCTGGGGACAGAACAGCAGGCCTTGTCTCAGGGCCTCGATACGCAGCACTCTGCACCCAGAGAGATCATAGCTCTGAGTCTCTCTCTGATACTCACTCCTTTATGAACCAAGTAGAGAGCCAGGTCAGATGACAGGATCTCGGGGCTCAGTGCCTTCTCCATGTTCTCCTTGTTGATCTGCAGAAGGGAGGTGAGAGGGAGGCGTTATCATCAGCTCCTCTTTGGGGACACAGTGGCTGACAGTGGGGACCACAGTCAGCAGTACAGGCAAGGCAGCAAAGAGCCCTCATCTCAGGGCCAGTCTGGAGCTCTGTCTCCTGTGTTACTGACACAATGTGCACCGTGACCGTGTTCAACAGCACAGACTGAACTGACCTGGAGGGTGGAAATCACTCCCGTGGCAACCTGGAGCACAGCATTCAGGGTGTCTACAACATCAAAAACGGCCTCCTTGTCCTCCTGTGTTGGAACAGGGATGGAAATGGCTGTAAGTCAACCTGATGCAGCCCGAGAGGCTGAGCAGCCCAGCCAGCAGAGCAGGTGTGTCATTCCAGAGGCTCCTGCCATGGCCAGGGTGTCACCTGCAGCATTGCAGTGCCTCAGCCCCTTTCCCAGCACCCTGCACACAGGCAGGGGCTGGGCAGGGAAATGGAGTGACAGGACAGCTCAGGAGTAATGGACAACTGTGTGTGCTCAGAGAGATGGTGTGAAAACCGACAAGGGCTTTACCTGCAGGTCCTTGTTGTAGGTGCTGGGGAGTCCTTTGAGGACCATGAGAATAGCAGCCAACTGCAGAGAGAGACAGGCAGGCCAGGGAGTTACAGGGCAAGGCACATCCCCCAGCACAGGTTCAGAGCCCAGACTGGGCACAGCTCTTCATGCAGAGGGACAAGGAAGAGGCTTCAGCCCTGGCAGGAGCAGTTTCCCCTCCCACTCCCTTCTTTCTCAGGCTCACCCGTCCGAACACTCGTCCAGCTTTGCTGCGGATCAGTTCCAGACTGTCAGGGTTCTTCTTCTGAGGCATCAGGCTGCTGCCAGAGCTGCAAGGAAGGTGTTTGGAGTGCAATGGTGAGTCAGATATTGCAAACCCTGCTAGTCAAGGAAGGGCTTTGGCAGCATTCCCAGCTGAGGAGGAAGTTCTCTCTGCCAGCAGTTGCCAGGGAGGAGTTGCTGAACTGAACTCAGACATGGATGAGTTATCAGAACCAGAAATAAGTGACCACTGCTGAGGAAGATTCACCCTGAGGTTGTCTTTGTGCCAGCCTCTTAAAGCTGTGTCAGCCTCGTGCACAGATAGACCCCCACCACTGCCCCATCAGGTGAGGACAGCTCAGGAGGTGAGGACAGCTAATGAGAATTACATCATAGAGACCAGAAACCTACCAGTAGGTATCAGAGAGGGTCAGAAAGCCAAATTCACTGGTACTGTAGATGATGAGATCCTCAGCCATCTTGCTAAGGTGGATCATCAGCAGGGTGGCAACAGACAGGAATTCCACTGCAGAGAAGGCAGGAAATCAGGAGGGAGAAAAGGTGTTTGTTTGCTTGACAGCCCAGGGAACCCTAACTTATTAAAGCCCCTTATTAAAGGAGGTTAATTGGAAAGGCCTCAGAACCTGCTTCTAACAGTGCTGGGAAGAAGTGATGTGCTTACCCACAAAGTCTCTCTCACTGACAGCATCCATGCTGTTCAGGCTGATGGAAGCAAAGTCCAGCTCTGTAAGGAAGGTGATGGACACAGGAGATCAGGCCTGGCATGACAGGAGCTTGAATGCACCAGGGTGCCCCAGTGTGCAGGTGACTGTGAGCCCTGGAGTGGTCCCAGGAACACAAACATGCTCTGATGTTGCACCAACTGGGGTCTTTACTGGGAGCCCAGACAGCCAGAGCGCAGCAAGGGTGGCTCCTCCTCCTCCCACCTCACAGGCATTGCCTGTCTCGTTGCAGCACAAAGCCTGAAGAAGAAAGGCTTGGACTCCAGGACAGGGCACTGCAGTGCCATTGGGAGCCCTGTGTCAGTGCTTCCCTCCCTCCTAGGTATGACAGGTGGTTCTGTGCCACTCAACCACAGGGAGACATTTACCACTACGCAGAAGCTCTCTGTCAATCTCCAGTGGGTTGCCAGCCAGAGCACCACTGCCAGGGGAGAAAGAAACAGGAGTCACACAACATACTTTGCATATCTCATCCAAAACTGAGCTCTAAGAGGCAGGGAAGGCCCATCTGAAGACTTTGCAGAGCAAAGCAAGGCCCGCTGATTATACAAACAGTAGATCTTACCTTCCCAAAGGCAAGACATTGATCCTCTTTTTTATCTCTCCCAGGCGCTCAGAGTCACGGGTCA